CTATCTGCCTCTGTTACTATTACTCTACGTATCTGTCCTATTCTTTCTGTCTATATTATATACATACGTATATATTATATATTTACACTTATATATTTATCTGACTGATTATATACACACGATCATGTCGCTGTGATATATAACAGTTTACTTTATACCGACATGATCTGTTTCTGTGTGCCTGAACTGATCGATGGTCGTCGTGTCACATGATTGTCGTTCGTGTCGTGTTGTCATGTTGGCCATTTACGATTACGTTGATTTTTCGTTTATTCATTGATCGGACGATACAAACCAACGCTAGACGGTCGCGAGTTTTATCTAAGAATACCGGGGAACGAATGGCAACGTCGTGCCCGCTGAAACTTGCATGATTTATAAGATCTCGTCAAGTAATTCCAGAACTTTTTACGCGATCTCATTCAAATAATTATTGATCTCATCTGAACTATTTCGCTGCTCGCGACTCTTCGAAATCTCGGTAGTATATACTCTGACATGCTCGATCGACTCGAAAGAAAAGAAAAAAAGAAAATAGAAAAAAAAGGAAAAAAAAGTAAAAGATAAATGCGCCATAAATGACAACACGGTTCTGTTCTCTTCTCTGTTGCTAGATGCCTGCATTGTGCCTGTGTCTGTCCCTGTCTGTCACTTAGACTCTAGACAACTACAACAACAACCACCACCATCACTAATGAACAACCAACAACATCAACTACAACATCAAAACAATCCACCGCATCTAGCCTATCAACAAGCGAATCACCACAGCTACACGACTGTAACCACGTCCAATCAGCATGGGCCCAGTCACTTGCCACCCAGCGGCGGTGTCATGGGTGCCCATCAGCAAGGTCCCGTACTGCCCCACCTTCAGCAACAGGTGAGCCCGCTCCTCTTCCGAGAATTTCTTCGTGCGCTTTTTCTCTCTTTCTCTCTCTCTTTCTTTTTTATGTGCTTTTTGTCGAACGTATGTGCTTTTTTCATACTTCTTGTGCGCTTGTTCTTCAGGTACATCGAAGTTTCCACAATTAACGATTGTCTATAATTGACAAGTCGTTGTTCTACGATAAGTTAATTTCCTTTTAATGAGAAATGGAGAGAGGAAAACTTAAATTTTTTGTTACCACATGGCTGCGAAATTTTAGAGCGAATGAATATTTTCTTTAAGAAACATTTCGTTTGTATTTCATTAGGATTTTTGTTAGAATGCGATCAATTGACAGATTATTCTTTCAAGTTTCTTTATTTGATTTACTTCTTCATAGATTATAAAATATAGATATTAGATTAAGTTATAGAAACTGGAATTTTACAAAAAAAATTTATGATCTTATATTTTTATGCATTTTTATGCATTTTTTAAATTACATGTTGCTCTCTATGCTTTGCTCTAACTCGCAATTCTATCTTTATTAGAAATAATTATTCAATAATTTTTAATCTTTTTGCATGAATGCAAATGATATTGTAAAGTATAAACACACAAAATAACATTTTAATTATTTCATAAAACGAATTTTTTGAAATACTAATTTTTTTAATGCAATGTGGATTGATAATGAGAAGAATTAGCAAAGTTATGTTTAATTTAAAAAATCTGACTGTTTGAGTATTTTGTATTTTACTTAGTTGTATGTTCTTCTTTTTGCAAGTATGAATTACGCTTTATTGTAAAACACACGTGTCGAAGATGGCACGTAAGCTATGTATATCTCGTGTCAGTGTATGCTATGTGAAACGCTTTAAATCGTGCAGCATGCTGTAGCTTCTTATTTGATCTTTCATTTTAATAAAGATCATCGCAAAAAGAAGAAAAAAAAACTTATTTTACACCTCGATAAATCATCATGACATGAATATTCCGCACTAACACATATTTTAAAAAGGATGAATCGGAAATACAACACGAAGATCTTTATAAATTTTCGTAAATTTTTATGTTACCTTCTCTCTCTCTCTCTCTCTCTCTCTCTCTCTCTCTCTCTCTCTCTCTCTCTCTCTCTCTCATCTCAAAACATATACTCACAGTATTTCTTTCTCTTGCCAATTATTTTCTATCACCATTACATAAAACAGAAATCATCACATATATCTTTCGAATTGCCGACAATTTATTAGCGAATCGTAGAATCTTCGGAATGAAGAATATAGCCTCGCAGAGGTGACACTAGCGAAAAAGTAACGATAGAACGCGCGCGATAGAGTTAGGCGAAAAAATAGATACGGTTTGTTCAGTTATTAGCGATTGGATATCAATAAAACAAGAAAGCGAATTATTACAATTATTGTCAAGAGAAAGAAAAGACCGAATTAACCATGTTTCTTTGTTTTTAGGGGAAGGGGAGGGGCGGCGTGGTCAATCGGATCGCTGGTAGTAACATGCCGGGCCAGCATCTCCAACAGCAAGATTATCAAGGCCAGCAGCAAATGAATCAACCATACCAGCAACAGCCGAATCAGCCATACCAGCAACAGCAACAGCCGAATCAAGGGTATTCGCAACAACCAACGCAACAATTCCAACAACAGCAAATGGGCCAACCACAACAGCAACTAGGCCAATCATTCTCGCAACAAAATCAACCGGGCGGTCTCGGAATGCAAATGGGCGGTCCTCAGAGTGCCAGCAAACCTATGAGAGGGATACCGGCGGTGCTGCCGACAGCACAGTCCAAGACACAGCCTAATCCAACGCAGCAACAGCAGCAGCAGCCGCAGCAACAGAGCACCGGGCCGAATCTGATGCAGAAATTCACCGAAATGGCGGGTGCGAGTGCCGGCGGCGATATACTATCCAAAGGGAAAGAGCTGATTTTCATGAAGTTCGGATTGGGCAAGTGAGAAGGAGCGATCACTGACGACGTGACGATGATGACGATAATGATGATAATAATGACGCATTGTCGCGATCGTTTTTTGTTTCGTTCTTCTCGTGCTCCGCACGCGCGCAAGTCAATCTCGTCAATGTGTAAATCAGTATTACTACGAACGTCGTTCGACAGCAGAAAATATGCAACGAGGAAGCAATCTCATCGAACGTTGTTACTGAAGACAAAGGGGACAAGGCAAGAAAATGCACCATTGCTGCTGCTGCTGCTGTTGCTGCTATTGTTGCTATTCGCTACTAATAATCGTTAATTACTGCAAAATAAAAAGAAACCGTTGCTGGATAAATATATATCGAGGACGAACCTTGCAATAGAGGCAGGGAGAAAGAACGATGCGGATAGCTCAAAATGAGACAAAGATGCTTCACATCGAGACTCAACTGATTCTACTGATCGAGAAGAAACAAGAGACGTACAAGATTCATCGAACTTTGTCTTAATCCTCCTTTTCTGAAATCTTCTACTATTTCTTCTTCACGCGACGGTAGGATCCTCGATCGGTGCTGCGCGGTCCATTGAAGAGATACTTGCTCGTCCATCGCGGAATCTCCTAACATACACGAGATAGTCAATATTATGCTATCTGCGAAATATACTTTAAGTGACGGCATAAATCATGTAAATCGCGTATCTGCGCGACTGTTTCTTCCAATCTCTCTTCGTCCTCTTTGTTTTATTCAAAGCGCCGTTCGGTTCTCGGAGTAACAAAAGAAACCTTGCAAATTATATCGAGTGAGAGAGAGAGAGAGAGAGAGAGAGAGAGAGAGAGAGAGAGAGAGAGAGAAAGAAAGAGAAGGATTCCGCGTTAATGTAATTTCGTATAGACAAAAACGAATTACTGGCAAAGCGAAGCTAGACAAGTCAAAGTTGATCTTTCACACAGACAAAAAAGAGAGATAAAGGCCGACCTGCAAAGGGATAATCATATCGTCATATAGGAGTGAGGACGCGACAACAATGTGGGTGTGCCTTGGGAGAACCGTCTTACCCAGCAGCAACTAATAATCATATCTCTAATCGATAATTCCTCTAGCTATTTTTTTCTTTTTCTCATGGAAATTGAGCGCGCTATATCGAGAGCCGCAGCGGCGCATATACGAATAAATGATGACGATCTCTCGTCTTGATAATTTTCTCTTGTTCCCGTGTATGTATGTATAAGACTGGACCCCTCCCCCCTCCTCTTCGCGTGTTCCCTCACATTATCCCATGTCCTTCACTTTTATTCCAGCATTCCCGAATGGACTTGCATGCGGATAGAATCGTCGCATTCGCGGGCCGCGAAAGAGATAAAGAAAAAGAGAAAGAAAGAGATCCTTGAACCTCATGTTTTCGGCCGCTCGAATGAATCTCGAAATCAGGATCGCCTGTTCGGATCGGAAAAGAATCGAACGAATCCAAGATGATGTTCGAGGATGAATGGCGATGTGATCATTTATCGTCGGACTTATTTTGAATGGCGCACAAAAATTTGAGACGCAATGGAATACGAAGCAACGTCAGACCAATGAATCGCAGACACGAAACGCTACGATCTTTCGATCGGGGCGGGCGAATCGGCCGTGTATCAAACGATAACTATATATCATAACTGTGTGTGTGAGAGAGACAATTCAGATGGAACGGGAGATCATAGTACTAAATGGTAACGGGATATACATATATACATATGCATATACAGATATACATATATATATATATACATATATTATATTTAACTATTGCAAAGTATTGTTACATCGCTACTTGTATCGTATTTTGTACAAAGTATCTTTACCTTCGATTGTTTTCTTTCGCCAAAATATCTTTAGCAAAAAAATATGGCAGAGGAAGAGCGACAAATCTTTTCCGGATCCATTATCAAATCATTCGACAGCATCATTATCATCACCGTCATCATCATCACCATTTTCATCATCCTCATTATCTTCATTTTCCTAGCCATGTAATTGCCATGTAACTGCTATGTAAATACGTAATATGACAGTTATTTGGTAGTTACATAGGCAGTTATATAGTAGTTTTATGGATTTATTTTCATCGTCATCATTAGTATCTTCATCATTATTAGTATCATCATCATCATCATCATCATCATCATCATCATCATCATCATCATCATCATCATCATCATCATCATCATCATCATCATCATCATCATCATCATCATCATCATCATCATCATCATCATCATCATCATCATCATCATCATCATCATCATCATCTCATCGGCGTAATAAGCCGATCGGAGAAGAATTCTCCAATGACCTTAATATATGTTGTTATGATCCTGAGTGATCTTGACAACAAATGTCAAGATCATTTGCGGCTCTCCTCCGGCCGGCATATTACGTATTTACCTTATTATCAATATTATTATTATGATTATTATCACATCGCTATCAATGTCATACCATTGACGCAATCTTGTACTTAATTGTATACTCGCGCTTGTTCTGTGTGTACTCGCTTCTCGTATGTTTTTCGGTGACGGTGAATATACATATACAGCGAGATAAATTCAAGATTTTTTGAAAAGAAGGGAGCACTGCATAGGGAGATAATCATTTCCGTTGAAATATGAAACAATTTCTAGGAATCTCAAGATCGCGATTCAATCCTTTCATCCCTATCAGGATGTGTCTCATTGCAGCTTTAATGATTTTTTGGGAGACAATATATCTCACATAATGATGTTACAATTACACTTTGTTAGAATTTAGAATAGAGGAGGGAAAGAAATTACTATTACGATGTTCAGAAAAATAATAAAACATTGACTGTCTAACATATAAATGGAACGATATTAATGAGTCGCATAATAGAAACATCATGTATACGTCAATATGGACCAAAATAAAATCTCTATCATTAAAGAAAAGTTGGAATTCAGTATCTAAATAAAATAACTGTACAGCTCATTTTTCCATCATGTAATAAGTCCACAGTAGATGTCTTATGATTTGTTATGAATCAAAAGTTTTAATGCGCAAATCATTAAGACTGGAAAGATTATGGAAAATTATTATTTAAATGATAATAAGATTGCAAGCGCTGTAAATATTAAGATAACATATATAGAAATTAATTACAAGAGATGAATATATCTCCCTATCGCGGTGTTGCCGTTATACAAGCTAATGCATGAATGATTACACTATATGGAGTGAGTCTGTCTAAATCAAAAGTAGACAGAACAACTCAAATGTCGAAACATTTCTTGCTTTTATTTTTTATTTTATTGTTGCGTGATAATATGATAGAATGATAACGTTCGGCTTTGAACGTGCACGTCCGACGGATCCGATAATCGACCAATCAGATCCGATTGTGTAGCATAGGACGATTGCGCGAGAGACGTGAGAGAATCAGTCGTTTTCTCTGCGACTATTCACGTGGATAAATTCGCATGAATAAATTCGCGAAGACATCAATGCACCATAATGATTTGCAACGGTAAATGTTTCGCTTGCACAGTTATTTTGATTGCGTTTTTTCATTAGAGATTATTCATTAAAGATTAAACGCGCATTTTGAAGCGAAAAAGAAAGAATATCAATACTTTATGGAACTATATATAGGCAATTTGAGTAATAACTGAGCGTGATATCGACATTTATCATTATTAGAGCACGTATCCTCTTTCGCTTCTGCGGCTTTTTATTTATTGTTTCTCCCGTCCCCTCCATCTCACTATTGATAATTTTTGCACTGTATTACGACAGCACCGAACTCATATTTGACAAATAATCTTGATTCAGGCGATGTGAAGATAAAAGACTGATATCGAAGTTTCCGGTACTGCGGGTGATTATAACGAGTACCAAGACGCTAATAGCGAGTGTGTGTAATCTCTCACATATATCGCGGTCGTTATGTGTCTTTCTTCGATTTTTTCTGCGTTAACCCACGTATCTCTATAATATAAACGTGTATAGTTCTCTTTCGCGCGAGCGAGAAAGTATAAATATTTGTTACGAACTTAAAATTGATTATAGGCGTAAAGAGAGGAAAAGTAAGAGGAAACGAAAGAGAATTATGGGAGCACCGACGTGAGTTGTCGAGCGGGTTCCGGCAGGAAGCGGGTCTTCGAAGAAGAAAAGAAAATATTGTTGAACAGAAGAAAGAAAAAGTAGAGAGAAACTAATCGTCGATGCGGCGCGCACACATTAGTGCTTTTACTTACGGTACAAAGTCGAAGAAAGAGAGAGAAAGAGAAAATGAAAGAGAAAGGAGTAAGCATTTTTACTTATCATCGTTAGACTTTTAGATATGATCACTCTAAAACGCACCTATATAACTTTCACGCGAACGGACTCATTATGTATCTCGCGTTTGAATGAAGCCATCTTCGCGACGTTCATCATCCTCTTCGCGCGATTCAGACTAAGCGCCAGTGATTCGATCGTTTAACGAGAACAATAAAAAATAGCGAGATGCGACGAAATGATCGAACGCGAGGATTACGCGATGATCTCGCTTCTGAAGGCTCTTGATCCGTCATCGCGTTAAGAATATCATAATCATTAGATCTTCTCTATGAATTACATCTTCTTGAAAGCCATGATATATAGCTAAAAGTCTGAATTTTTGATCCGCATCCAATATGTGATTTTAAATGGTCTGTTCTAATCCACCTCTAATCTCATAGAGCTAGTGATGCATCTTACAATGTCCTATCGAATGTGAATTGTTGTCTGTAATGTTTCCATATCCGACAATCTTCTCGTTATAAATTTTATCGAAAATGAATGTTAATCTTTTCCTTCTGCGCGATTGCGATGACGGATCGTCGGCCTTAACTTGACGGTATCAATCGCGGTAGTTCTATGAATATTTCTTGGGATCGTTTATCGAGCCTCATGCCTCTGTATATCTCATTGTACATTCTCATCGTTATCGACTTTTAGCCTCTGAATGGGACGATCCGTATAGCTTTTTTGATATCGCGGCGATCGGCGTCGAGGACTGAAATCGACTGGCGAACGAAACGAGCGAGCGTGCGAACGAGTTCTCGAATGCTGAAAGGAACGCAGGTGCGCCCAACAATCCTTTACAATTTTCCGGACGTTTCTTTCGGTCTTCGTAGATACTTTTAGACATAAGGCACTGGGTTGATTTCACCTAGTATATAGGTGTCGAATAGAATAAATATAACGCCCGCCCTCCGCGCATTCACACACGTACATAAGACACACACATATCCCAGATCGACGAGCGTCGATACGAGTATCCGTTTCAAAGTCTTACTATGAAAATAGTCTGAAAATAGTTCTGACAGTAAATCGTTTCGTGATTGATTCTTCATTCTTCGCGCGAGCGCTAAAAATTAAATTTGTGAAAAATAAACGCGATAAATTTAACGATTATTGACAGTTTTATTTTCTGAATATAATTTATTTTAGGAGTTTGTTGAGACCAAAATGATGGGAAAAATCACAGGCTTAATACGATCTTAAACGGATACCGGCATGATCGACGATAATCGTTCTGGGAACCGCGGACTTTCGTTCCGCTAGGAAGGAAAGCTTCACTGACGGAGGGAGAGAGCGCTATAACGAATCAAAGTGACTGACAGAGGATCGTTGGTTTAAGGAGGCTACGAAGCTATCCGGACAGTGTTAATTAGTCGCCAATTATTGTCATTCTTTCTCTCGTGTCGACATTAAGAACGTATGAAGCGGGAGCAGGAGGTAGCGCAAATCGACTATATAATACGTTTCAATATAAACGAAAAAAAAAATAATGAAAAGGAAATATATCGCGTCATCTCTTAAGCATGCCAGAGAGAGAAATGCCAGCTACGTTTGTCATTCAGTAATCTTGCGCTTTGTTTTTTCTATGAATCGGTGCGTGACGATCTCACTCCTTGTGTTAGATCGAGGTGAAGTAAGAGAAACAGAAGAAAAAAAGCTGCTCTATATATATATAT